GATTTGGAAGGGAGAGGAGCAAGGAGTGAGTGCTTCTTGCTTTGTTGGGTACATAATGGCACTCTGGACTTGACCACAAGGCCTCATTCCTCAAGCACTGACTAAACTCGTTTTCTGATGCTTTTCTGAGAAAAAATTTTGTGTTTTTGTGTCAAAGCAGATTCTGGCATATTTGCTAATGTCGGCCTCTTCTTCGGCAGCTACAAGGGTGGAAGACTGGACATCCAACTGGGGGAAAGATGAGTTCCCAGTGATGGCCAGTGCATCTATAGCGATGTCCTTCCTGGCTTTTATTGCTTTTGCTATAAGCTCCCTCATATCTGGTTACAACCTTTGTCACCACGATTCAACTTGATCTCTCGTCAGTCTACGTCTATATTCTCGTTTTTCATTTTTCATTTTTTATTATTTTTTTCTTTTTAATAATTTCTAGTAGTTTTTGCTTTGATAATTTAATTGCAAATAAATTCTGAGCTTGTATAGATACAGTGATAGAATAATAGGAAATTTCTTCTTGTTAATAAATAAATGGTCCATTATATTAAGCAAAGATCACTTGTTTTGAGGTGGGATCGTTAATAATTTCCCTATTCGAATAAAGTAGGAAGGAGATTAAAAAACCATATGGTAGACGAATATCAAGATGAGTTGATATTATGCCCATTTTGACAAGAATATCTATATGATGCAGTCAAGGGTCTATATCATTGTTAGATTCTTTGATAAACAATACAAAAATGGTCAAGTCTTCCCGTGTACAAATTTGATCTGTACATAAAAATAGGAGAATTCTGATTGTACAGAATTCATTTTACAGAATCAAACCAGATCTCTCACACAAGGCCGGCCTCACTACGGAGCTTAATGTAATAAAAAAATTCTGACCCCACATGATGAGAGACTTCTGTAAGAAGTCTGTGAACTGGGGGTCTGTACCCCCAACTTAGCTCATCAAAATATGTTGAAGATAAGATTTAAATAATGAATCGTCCTAACTTAGTTATGGGATCTGCTTTGTCCTTCTCTTTTTGGTTAAAGAATTGGTGAATTGGACAAATGAGATCCTTTCAACTTTGCATCATTGTGTAGTCACCAGTAAAACACCTAGTCAATTTGTCTAAAATGCCGCCCTTAATGATGCCATTAATCGAGGAATTTGTAAACAATATTGTAAGTTTATTTATTTAACCATTTCTTTATTCTAATGTAATGTTGGATACGACTAAATTATTTAATAAGAACTCAGCATATATTATACTAATTTAAGTGATTTATATTAGTGCCGAATACCTAATGATATGTTTGGTATGTTTGACTAAATTATTTAATAAGAACTCAGCATATATTATACTAATTTAAGTGATTTATATTAGTGCCGAATACCTAATGATATGTTTGGTATGTTTGACTAAATTATTTAATAAGAACTCAGCATATATTATACTAATTTAAGTGATTTATATTAGTGCCGAATACCTAATGATATGTTTGGTATGTTTGACTAAATTATTTAATAAGAACTCAGCATATATTATACTAATTTAAGTGATTTATATTAGTGCCGAATACCTAATGATATGTTTGGTATGTTTGATTTTTTTTAATGAGAACACGACATATATTAAACTAATTTAAGCGAGTCATGCTACACATGACACGACATCATTGAAAGATTGAAAAAATTGAAATAAACAGTCCGTTTACATTTTACCATTTTATTGTCGATACAAATTTTATTAAATTTTTCATGTACTTATGGCTTTATTGACAGACATGTTTTTGCTCATGCGCTTGTCTTCATTAAACGTGTCTAATTTAACATGCTATAAATGACTTTTTCAGTAATGCTTAGAACCTGTTTGGAAGGGATTTTGAAAATTGATTTTTTGACCGTCAGGAGAAAAGTGAAATTCATCTGTGAGAGAAGAAGTCAAATATGACGGCTGTAATAGTGAAATAACGATCAAAAAATCAATTTTTTGGGAGAAAAAATCACTCCCAAACATGCTCTCAATGCAAGTTGTCTTAATGAGCAGCAACGAATTAGATGGTATAAACCGATGTTTTATTGCTGTGAAGTCGGAGACTAATTAAATCGCATGATTTTCTTTTGAATCATTTCATTTAAAAAAGATAAGCTAGTAAAGAAGAGACGGGTTAATTTATTTAAATTGTGAGATTCAAGCTGTGTATAATTTTCACAAAAGGATAGAGATAAAACTCAAATTTAGGATCTTTATGTATTATAACACCGTTTAGGATAGCTTCGTCTAAATATTTAAATTGTGAAGAGTCAAACTACCTTCTTTGACAAATAGGTGACGGCAAGGCATGAAGTGGCCACCTATGTCGACTTTGTAGAACTACCTCATTTACATGTCTAAAGACAGAATATGCTCATTTATATCTTAATAACATGAAAATCTAATTACTTTATTTTCAAGATCCTCCATATCAAATCACCAAAAAAATTAATAATGTGGAACATATCTTGATCCATTGATTTGTCTCTCGAATGATGAATCTTGAATTATAATTTTTGAATTTTGTTTTCTGGATCTTTAATCTTGAAAATCAACTTGGAATCTCTTCTTGATTGGTTTCTTGCTTTCAATCTTGAATTTTGCCTCATTTGATTTTTTAATTCTTGTTCTTGATTATGCTTCTTGATCCAAGTCTTAATTCTTGAATTCCTTAATCTTGATTCTTGATTGTAGATTATATAATCTTGATTGTAGGTTTTGGATCTTCCTTTTTAATATGCCTTTTCTCTGAATTTTTGTGTTGATGGGATGACATAAAGGATGAGAAATTGCATATGAATAGGGAACCATAAATTTATATATTGTTTTCATATGTATTTCGCCCATCATGAAATACAATTCTAAAAGAATCCGGTCTTTATACATACAATCTGACCCAAACTTTATTTAGATACATTTAGCCCAATTACTTAATTATTTATTATATCACTTTAATTTTGGGCTTAACTTTAAATAGCATTTATACACAATTAACTACATATGTCGGCCCGCATGGCAAATTAAATAATTTCCCAACATAAACTAGTCTTCCATGATAGGAAATAATTTTATTTTATTAATTTGTGTCTCCAACAAATGTAAAAGGGGGATGAACATATATAATTACTACATTTTGAGTGGAACTAAATTAATTACAAAGAAAAGAATATGCAGTGAAACATAACCAGATTAGTTTTGGTAACTCAGAAATTCGATGGACTTTATGCCTGATCAGAATTCATATCAAGCCTCAGAAATGATAGATTTCTCTTCATATTCCTTAATAGAGTTTATGATTACAGCCACTTCCCTTGTGCTTGGCCTTTCTTCTGGTGCTGAATTTATAAACTTTAGAGCTACTTGCAAAAGGTTCGCCGTCTTCTCTTCATTTGCACCCTCCGAAACCAACATCTTGTCGAAAACTTCAACCGTCCACTCTTCTTGTTTAGCCGAATTCATCCACTGGCCACTGCCCTAATTCGGATCCATTGTTCTGGACAAGTTTCCCTGTCAGCAGCTCAAGAAGTACGCTACCGAACCCAAAAACATCGGTCTTAAACACGTTGGATGAGCTGTGAACTGGGGACGAGTTTTCTTGAAAGCTGTCAATGGGAGCAAGAAATGATGAATCTTGATTGTTAACCACTGATAGACCATACTCATTTATGCAGGGTTCATTCCATTGTTCAGC